TGTTTGAGATGTTCTGTTTCACTTTTGTTTGTGTTTTAGGATGATTAGTAGTTAATATCGGTTTCTTATTGCTTCTATCGAGTTGGAAAATGGCATTGTTTTAACGCTGTTATGTGAGATTGCAACATTTGTGCATCTTTCTCAGTTAACGAATCCATGTGTATATTCGTACATATTGATTACTGTTGATTCCATTGGGAGATGCAGTCGGATGTTTAAACTTGAAACTAAGAACACCATGACTCGTATTGTTTCCATAGCAAGCTCATATTATTTCCAACAGTTGCATCAAACTAAAGCATGACTCGTACTTTATCAATGTATAGAGTAATGGACTACAAGACAACAATCAGCAACATACAATCAGCAACAAGACAGAGTTGTGGATAGAACATCGGTCTTAATACAAGCAGCAACAATCAGCAACATATAATCAGCAACATACAATCAGCATACACATCGGTCTTAATACATTAGTCTTAACACATCAGCAGCTACAAGACACAATCAGTCTTAATACATAAAATGTAGTAATACATTAGCAGCTACAAGACAGAGGTCTTGTACAAAATGCGCATCACTTGAATCAGTTCTGCTCATGGATTGCTTGAGGAGCCAAGGCAGAGTTGTGGATGAACCTGAGCTGATTGTGCTCTTTCCTGTGTTAGTGGTAGCGCTGTAAGAGAAACACATGCACAATCAAATAAATCGTTTGTTAAAAGTTAAAAACAGAGTAAATAAAGCATTGTTAAAGATTGATACACAAAAATGTAAGCAATCATACGTACATTAATCATGAGATATGACTTTTTGAACAAACCAATACATCCACCACCCGTGCATATGTTTACCTGCAAATTATATGACAAATTAATCATGAGATATGACTTTGTGCTATCAAGTTTCATAAACTTATATAGGGTTAAAACTGAATATCAACGAAAATGGTACCTTTGCAAGTTAACTTTACAACTAGTTCTATAATGCCCGAGTTCACCACATCTGCTACATATGCGTTTCTTCCTTTCTTTCTTTTCTTGTGCCTGTTCTAAACCTGACTGGATTCTAGTAGCATTGCGTGGACGACCTTTAGTCCTTGCAGGTCTATCAGGATCACGAACTGTTATCTGAGGAATGTTCTCTATTGTATGTGAAATGGGTGCGGAAGGTTGAGGAATATCCATAATTTGATCTTGAGTTTCTCCAACTTCTTCTTCAAGTGATTCCATGAAATTTGTTAGCACATCATCAAGTTGTTGCAGCTTCTCTTCTGAATCAAATGCAAGCTCGAGCACATTATTGAATTTTGCTCTTAAAGCCCAAGATTTCAATAAATTAATCTTCTCTTCACAGCTGGTGATGTTTCTTCCAAATACAATATTGCCAACCCCAATGTTACGATGCCTTGCATGTATGGTCCAACGGTGTAGGATGTAGTGGTCGGGTAATGAATCCATTTGCCTAGCCATCATTAGCGATAATATATGTCTACATACAACACCATTAGTTTCAAACAAAGCACAAGTGCAACAGAACTGGATCTGACTGGATTGTTCATAAGTAACCACCTCCTATTTTCCTCTATCTGTAAACTTACAGACCTTGTATTCAACAATGTCCCCATCTTTTCTCAATTCTTCACAGAACTCTGTACCAAATCCTTTGAATTCAGTATGGAACACATCAAACATATTGCGTGTATACATTTCTCCAGCTTGGATCTCAATTGGATGTCCAAGGAGCATAACCGGCTTTGTGTTCAGACTCTTAAAATCTTCATGGGCTTCACTTAAGCGACGATGAGTTACTGCTTTTTCATATTGTGTCACAAACTCGTGTAACTGAGTCTGTGAGTTAACATACCCATCAAAAAATGCATTAATACTTTCACTCCTTTGGCTCGATCTCATTCCAGCAAAAAAAGTGTCCTTCAGATAACACGGCACCCAGTGTTCTCTGCATTTGTAAACTGTTTGCAACCATCCCTCCCCTTCTTCATTTATATCAAACTTCTCTTTCATCTCAACCCAATATCCTTCACATTGTTCAATTGAAGAACTATTGCACCACAAGCCCCAATACCTTTGAAACTGTTCACCATAACGAGATACCAAAGTAGGCAAATGATCAATAATATATAATAGCATCTGGTTCAATGTCGTGCATGCATTTCAGCCATTCTTCAAATAACCAAACAAAGGTATCTTCCTGTTCATCGGCTAATAATGCACAACCAAGTAAAGTGGACTGCCTATGGTGATTTACACCAGTAAATGGAGCAAATGGAAGACCGAACTTATTAGTTCTGTATGTCACATCAAACACAATAACATCACTGAATTGCAAATAAGATGCTCTTGATCTTCCGTCGGCCCAGAATACACTCCTCATTTGTCCACTACTGTCTACTTCTATTGCAAAATAAAATTCTGGATCATTCGCTGTCATACTCTGAAAATGTCGAATGATAGATATGCATTCATGACCAATATTGTTGACTCTTTGGGTTCTGATATGATCAATGCACTGTTGTGATGTCACAAGTTCACCGTCTCTTCCATTGGTTGCATTGATAACGCGAGAAATAGTGGAAGGAGGCATACCTTCTTCTCGCAGACTATCAATAAGTTTTTTACATCTTTGAGTTTTATGAAATTGTTGATGTGATCTGTGCATTTTTGCTTTGTCTGGACTACTCAACACATGATTTGTATGTTCTTCAACAAACCCTGTAACCTCCCACGATTTGTCCTCCAATAATTTAACTCGCATCATTGCCTTACACCCCACTCGGGTCTCTCGCCGAAGAGGGATCTCTATCTTGCCACTATTAGATTTATAGCCCTCCTTATCACAAACAAACTTTCTGTCTACCACTTCTCTAGTCTTGTGAGAGTAATTCACACTGCTCTTCCTTATTCCAAAACCCATCAACAATGCATAAGAGTTATAATAGTTATAAGCTTCTTCATGACTATTAAACTTCATTCCTAGTAGTGGTTTAGGAGCATTTACAGAATTGGCCGCAGTTTCAATTCCAATAACACTTGATTCTCCCATTCCGAACTCTACACTATTTGAATTTGTTTCCTCCATTCCAAACTCCTAAAGAAGAAAAAAACAATAATAATGACCACGTCAATTATTTGGGAACAAAAAAAAACATACACAAAAAAAAGACACAAATAAATTTGCAAAATTAGCATATACATTACTGCAGTACCCCATTACTGCTTCCATGACTTCATAAAATTTGCAAAATTAGCATATACTTTATGAATTTCACTGTAGGATCAATAAAACTCAAGTTCATAAAACTCCGTTGAGATAAAATTAGCATTTCACTGTAGGATCAATAGAACTCAAGTTCTCCGTTGAGATAAAATTAGCATAAAATTATCATTTCACTGTAGGATCAATAGAACTCAAGTTCATAAAACTCCGTTGAGATAAAATTAGCATAAAATTAGCATTTCACTGTAGGATCAATAGAACTCAAGTTCTCCGTTGAGATAAAATTAGCATACAATTATCATTTCACTGTAGGATCAATAGAACTCAAGTTCATAAAACCCCGATCCCAGTTAAATTTTTAATCACATCAACACTTAGCAAAAATACTTTGTCTGAAGAAAGGAGGCGGTCGAGAGAAGAAAGGAGGGCGGTCGAGTTGAAATTTTACCTGTCGAGAGAGATCGAAAGGGGGAGTCGGGGTTGGCCTCACGAGACGAAACGAGCGGTGGCGGTCGCCGATTTCTCAGTTCGAGCGGCGGCGGTCGAAGCTTGAAGAAATCGGTGGGGCGCGGCGACCAACTGGCGGAGAGAGGAGCTCAGCGGTGGTGATCGCGGCCGCAAGACAGTCAGCGGAGAGAGGAGCTCAGCGGTGGTGATCAAATGATTTACTCGAAGGGGGAGATGCCGAAACGAGCGGATTTGGCGGCCGCAAGGAGGGCGGAGGTGATCGCGGCGGCTGCAGGTGGCGGAGAGAGGAGCTCAGCGGTCAGCGGTGGTCGCGGCGGCCGCAAGGAGGGCGGCGGTGCTCGCGTCGGAGAGAGGAACTGGGGAGAGAGAGGAGCTCTTCAGAACGTCGATTTGAGATCTGGGAGAGAGGTTCTGGAGAGAGAGATTTGGGGAAAGAAAAGTGAATTTGGTCACGAGATCTTCTTGGAACTGGCGGAGAGAAAAGTGAAGTTGGGTGTTTTTACAGCTGTAATCGACGGGGTTTTTTTCAAATCAACCCTTGCAGCGCACATATCCCCTACGCTGGCAGCTCATGGCCAGTTTTCTCATATACTTATATATATATATATATATATATAATATATATATATATAATAATATATATATATATATATATATTATATATATATATATATAGAGAGAGAGAGAGAGAGGAGAGAGAGAGAGAGAGAGAGCAAAATCTGTGTCAAACTTAAGTGGATAGCAAAAAAGTTATCCACCAAACTTTTTAAGCCATTCATATACCTAGGATCCTGCATGATATGAAAATGTTTTTTATATTAATAAATGAGTGGCTAGGAAGTTTGGTGGACATCACTTAAGTTGATAAGAGTCTTATATATATATATATATATATATATATATATATTATATATATATATATATATATATATATATGACATTCATTTCTAATATACCAGTTTCTGATCATGAGATCAATGGACATGGCTTCATACAGGTGAGTGGAATTTTTAAATTTTCTTCAGCTTGGGATCATATTCGACTCCCTTCAATACTTTTGAGCTTTACAATGTGGTGAATGGTTTCCTTACTCTAATCCTAAGGATGTCTTGTGCCTTGCTTAAAAGCCTATTTAAACAGATTAGCTAGCAAGGGACAGGCTTCTCAAATTTGGAATAACATGTTCGGAAATTTGTACTCTCCTGCAAGGTCTCGAAAGAGACTAGGGACCATTTATTCTTCCAATGTGAGTTTTCATCATGTTATCTGGAAATTGTGTAAGCTTAAAATGAAGTTGAATGCTACAGATACTAAAGACCTGAAAACAGAAGCCTTGGAAATCAAAAAGAGGTTCAATATGAAGGATAATACTTATATCTTAGCTAGACTGGCTTGAATAGCTACTGTTTGGCACATTTGCAAGAAAGGAACAGAAGGATTTTCCATGAGCGAAAGCGTACACAAGATTATGGTGTTTAGGAGAATATAGTGAGACATAAATATTTTGCTTAGAACTTGCAATTGGAAAGTGGGCAATTCGATATTCTAACCAAACTGGGGATATAAGAAAGAGTGATTTTCTCTTCCAGAGGCAGGATGTTTATGTTTTGTATTTGTAAGTGCAAATTAATCGCTACGACTTATGTTAACCTTGGGTTCTTACTAGGTTACTTTATTGTGGGTGACGGCCAGGGTCCTCTCCCCTCTCTACAGTTCCCCTAGTTGAGTTCCCTTGTGTTAACTAGTCAAGGATATATCTATGTACTTGTGTTTGGTTTTAATGGAAATTTACTTATCTTTCAAAAAAAAAAAAAAAAAAAAAAAAAAAAAAAAAAAAAAAAATATATATTAATATTATATATATATATATATATATATATATATATATAATATATATATATATATATATATATATATATTATATATATTATGTGTGTGTGTGTGGGGGTGGGGGGGGGGGTCGGGCGCTGGGGTTTTTTAACTTGACTATGAACAATGATGAATTGTTAGTTTTTTGTTGTAATATTCTACGTAAAGGTACTTTGGGTGTAAGTATTAGCAAAGCATCATTCAAGAGCTGAGTATGTAAACAGTTTGCCCTACAAAGGCTTTCAAATTAATGCGGTTCTTGCAGGGAATAGATTTAGTTGGTACAAATAGTTCAACGAATATAACATGAAAACCATAGAACGAAAATGTACCTAGCCTAATTCATAAATTTTAATTCAAACTACTTTTTGCTGACAAACATTAATTGGCTTTAATTATTTTTAAAGTTCTGATTAGGACGATTAGGATGGATATTTAGTTCAAACTTTAAAGTTCACGCATGTGATTAGGATTAGAATAATTAGGATATAGCCGGTGAGAATATTCTAAATCTACAATTTGTGATTGAGATTATCAGGGCCGGTATATATATATATATATATATATATATATCTTGGTGATGATGTAGAAAAATTAATTTTAATTTTTGTATGATGTAGAAAATTTAAGATTGCTTGGCGATGATTTTCAAAAAGAAAAATATTTGCATATTGAATTTTTTTTAAAACATGACATGTTATCTGATATTGATGGTTTAGATTAATTTTTCAGAACTAAAAGTTTTAAAAGAAATAAAAATCCTGAATTAAAAACAGCATTTGAGATACTAAACCTTATAAAAAATTAAATTCTTTTCCCAATGCATGGATAGCTTATAGAATACTACTCACAATACCTGTTAGTATAGCTCCAGCAGAAAGAAGTTTTTCAAAATTAAAATTAATAAAATCTTATTTACGCTCAACAATGTCTCAAGAAAGATTAAATAATTTGGTAATTTTATCAATTGAAAAGTATTTATTATCAAAGCTTGAATATAAAATTTTAATTAGTAACTTTGCATCTTAAAAAGCTAGAAAATTAAATTTTATATAAAATCTATTTTTTTTAAACTAATATTTAATTTTTTTTTTAAACGTTAAGGCCCTTAATATTTTTCTCTGCTTAGAGCCTCAAAAATGCTTGAGACGGCCCCGGAGATTATGAATACGAATCGGCTTCTCGTGCTACTCAGAGTGCCCGTGACACAGCGCGCAGGTGGGCAAAGAGAAGGACCAGAAGCTTCTTTCAATCCGTAAATAGTCGAAGCATCCAAGTTCGTGAACTATGGATAGACCTACGTAGCTAATTATTAGGGTGTAGGGTTTAATTAGCTCATGCTTTTGTTTGTGATAGTGTTGGCTATTTCTATGGACTTGAATTAATTTGCTTTGATTTTTAGGGAGGATAATTAATGTACGTAGTTTGTTTGTGTTTCTAATATTTTTCTGGACGGTTTATATGTTCTATGCATGGTGCATCATTTAGGGCCTGTTTGGTTGGGTGAAATGGAGGAAGAAATGAACTATAGAGCTGACAAAAACGTCCCTTTCCATCTTAAATTTGCCCAACCAAACGGGCCCATAGCTCCTTTTTGTGGGGTTTATAGAGGCTTTAGACTTGGGCGGTACATTATATAAATTAGCATTGTGGCCCATGAGATGGGTGGTCAACAGTAAGGCTGAGCATGGTTCGGTCCAAACCGAAAAAACCGACCGAACCGACCCGAACCGATCCGAAAAAATCGGTTTTATGAGTGGTGTGGTTCGGGTCGGTTTGAAAACTTTTCAACCCGAACCGACCCGAACCGACCGAATACAGTGCAATACTATCCATTCTGATCTCAAACCCTACCCGACCCGTCCCAAAAGAGTCAAAGACTCAAACCCTAAACTCATTTTCTGAATCATTATGGGTTGAAAACAATATCATTATATCAGTGTTTAATGCTTCATAATCTCCTACTTTGTTGATATCTTTTTTTCTTTAACACAGTTTGTTGTTTGATAAGAAGTTTGATAAAGTTAGAACCGAACAAACCGAACCGCACCGCACCGAACCGATTTGCAACAGTTCGGTTCGGTTTTGATTTATAAGCGGTTCGGTTCGGTTGTTCAAATTTTGGTAAAAAACGAACCGAACCGACCGTTGCACAGCCCTAGTCAACAGCGTAAATACCACAGGGTTCTATATGCTTTAAAACAGTGTCAAGAGGACCTTTTTGCTTATTTACTTGTAGCCGTATAATTTCCTGCAACGAGGGTATGACTAAACTGGACTGTCTTTTTTTACCAATTGCTTTTCACTTTTATATCTTGATTATATGCTTCCATGCAAATAAGATATTAAGATATATGTATATAGTAATATTAGAATGACATCTGGAACTTCATTGCAATTGATGTTAAGGTAAGATAGCTCTCTTTGTTCACCACTCTGGTGGAGAGCAAGGAAAAAGACCCAAATTTATATGGTTGATTGTGTATAAAATGTCGACCTATCGGTATAAGTTCTTTTGGCATTCATATTATTTTGTTAAATACAATCAAGCATTACATGATTATTTTTATAATTTTGTACTGCATCATATACTTTCGTTGACGTATAACCTACTATGGTTTGAGGACAAGGATGACTAGATTCAATGAGAGTCTGAAGTTACCTATAAGTACTTGTCATGCTTTTATAGACCTTAACTAAATTTATTCAGGATAATTGACACGTGCATAATTTTTTATATTAATTCCAATCTATTTTTTTGTGATTACTTCTTAATCATGCTGGATTTATCATGGCAAAAGAAAAGGTAAAAGAAATTAAGCAAATACAAGCTAGTAAATAACAAATATCACAATTGAAGCAAATACACAATATTACTAAAGAAAAACAATGAAGGCAATAATAGGACATACCTGTTGAAGAAGACACTAACAAAAGAGGTTATGAAATAAGAGGAGAAATCGCTATAAACAATTAACATTTATCACTATTGAATCAAATACACAATATTACTAAAGAATAATCATGAAGATAAAAAATGACCATTGAATCAAGGGAAAATTGCTTGGGGGAACCAAATTTAATTGGGTCATGCATCCCCCCCCCCCCACAACGAGAGTCAACCACTTGGGGCACCTTGACCCAAAGTTTTCATGCTTTTACACCCCAAACACACTGCCAAGAAAATCAATTCCCAAATTACCCTTCTTCCCAGTTTAAAACCCATTCCTTTCCTCCTCAATCTGACCCAAGACCTCCCCCTCCCTCCACCACCACCGCCGACGCACCAGTCTCATCCTCTTCCTCCGCCCTCCACACCCGACCGAGTGAAGGAAGCATCCATCGCGCACCAGCAACCTCCGTCACGCGACGCCTGGCCTCGGCATCGCCCTCGTCACCTTCGGCATCTACCTCGTCGGCAAGGCCGTCTACAATCGCATCAACAGTTCTGATCCTCACTCCGGTCACTGAACAACAGAAACCCTAACCAAAGGTCTGATCTTTAACTTCCAATCACCCAATTTCTGATATTTTTGTTAAAATCTAGGGTTTGATGGAGAATTTTGGGATTTGGGCTTGTTGGAAGATTAGATCACTGAAACTGTAGAATGTGAAATTTGGGCTTGTTGGAAGATTAGATCACTGAAACTAGAGGATTTTAGATTGGTTGAAGAATTGGGTGTGTGGTGGATTATTATTTGAACCAATGTTGAAAATAGCGTTAACGCATAGCGTAACGCTTACCTCCGGTTAGGTTACAATAGCGATAACGCATAGCGTAACGTAGGTTAAATGATTTATTATTATTTAAATAATTTATAGATATATAACATTCAAAATAAAAAAATATGAATAATCATCGTAATTTTTAATTTCACAAATCAATATATCATCACAATTTCACAACAAAATCAACCATGTTTGCCTTAACAATCAATCCAAAAGCATAAAATACTTCAAGTTCGAAACCAAATCATAGACATTTTAACAAAACAAGCATTTTTAAGTCATAAGTTTTAATAAATCCTACAAAATGAGCCATCCTCCACTAAATCAATCCCTCATAGGCTCATACTACTAAAATACTAAGTCGTCCTCCTCCAGAATGATGTTTGCATCTTCGGGATCATAATCCTCAGCAGGTACATCTTCAGTAGCGACCTCTTTTCCTCTTTGTACTGAGGATGCTGCAGAAATAATTTTAATTAGAAAATCATAGATTCATTCAAAGAAAGCAACGGCCAAATTTTCAAAGTTTTTAAAAAGCTTACAAGAATCATTAACCCTCTGTTTCTTTGTGTGCAGAACATCTTCCAATGTCTCTTCTCCGGTGGCTAGATTACTAATTGCAGCAACATCAAGATGCTCTCTATCTCCATCATCACCATCAAGCCAAGTCAAATCATCCGGAAGACAAGGATCCTCCTCCTCCACGATCCACTCATCATCGGTAGAAGCCTCCTCCAACAAAATTGGATCTAACTTCCGCGCCTTCCTCCTCATATTTCTCTCCCTTAACTTGATGTTATACATGACATAGACAAGAGAGTTGAGGCGCCCCTGCTCTAGGCGACATCTCTTCTTAGAGTGAACCTTCACGAAATGATAATGACATGTAATATGAGGCTACAAATTTATATGAGTAGTTATGTTAATTTAAATTATTAAATTGGTATTTTCTTTACATGCTCAAAAGTACTCCTGTTGCGTTCACATCCAGATGCACTAGTAGTGAGAGAAAGAATACGAACTGCAAATCGCTGTAATGAAGGAGTCTCATCACCAAATCTCTCCCACCAATAGGCTATAAATTTTAAAATATAGACATCAAAAATCAGTATAATATGACAACATGACACTAAAATCACTATTATTGTCAAATTAAATTTCAAATTTAAAATACCTGCACTACGAAAAGCAAGGGTCCTCTGAGCCATCTCTGATCCGAACTCTCCTAACCTCTCTTTATAAGCATCTAGCTCATAGTCGGCTTCTGCTCTTTCAGCAACATCAGGGATCATGCGAGCCATGCACTCGATAAGTCCCTTCCTCACCTCTGGGTGCTTGCTAAACTTATCCCCGTAAAAGTACTTGGGATTAAGATAGTAAGCAGCAGCATGAATAGGATGATGCATCATTCCCGACCACCTCTTATCAACTAGTTTCCAATAAGGCATGTATTTTCTTTCAATTCCACCACATGCATCTGCAATTTTCTCTTTTGCACTATCCATCATCTCATAAAGTAATGGCATAGAGGGCCTAACATCGGAATCCACCTCTCGGAGGACATGCACAAGTGGAAGTGTTGTAATGAAGCAAAACATCACTCGTCCCCAAAATGACCTGCAATAAAGAATTGTGTTCCTCACTTTCACTCCATTTGGCTTCTTTGCCCAAGTGCTTCTTGTTTGGTGGAAAATTGCAAAGAAAATAACAAAGAAAATTGATTTGTATTCCTTTGATTCTGATTACAATTTGATTACAAAAGAGAGGAGAACGAAATTGGTTCTTCATCTTTGTTTAAAACTGGGTTCTTCACGGTGGCGATGGAGTGCCTCCCTCGAATGCTTGCGTCGAGTTTGCTCTCCGTTGACGATCCGCACGTCTTGCTTCACTGGAACGATGTCTTCTCCTCACGATTTGACGTTGTGGAGAACTTGCGTGGCAAGTTTGAGAACTCAGAACGAGTTTAGAAGAACTCTGTAAAAGAGTTGATTTGAACTGAAGATCGGTTAATAAGCCAAGGCTAGAGGCTCCCTGTTGCTGAAGTTGAAGATGATCTTCGTTGGAAGATGATGCCGATCTCCTCAAAAGCCTGTCTCCAGTGGTCGATCCAAGCCAAGAAAATCCAAAACCGACCCTTAACTTAGTTGAGTTTGTTCGCTTTTATAGGGGGATAAGAGGTTGTAACTGCCCTCTAAATCCGCTCCTAAGTGGGCGAAAATCCCTCAGAACGTGGGATAACGGTTTTGAGGCCGTTCGGCTTGTGTTTGAACAAGTCAAAACACCCAATCTGACGTTCAGAACCCAACTTCGCCTCTTAGAATTGAGACGCGAAGTTGGGTGTTGGCTGAACATTGATGAACGCGAGGGTCGCTCGCGTTTTGGTTTGTTGTAGCTTCGAAACGCGGGGGTCGGTGTTGGCTGGACCCCTACGAACGCGAGGGTCGCTCACGTTTCGCTTGTTGTAACGCGGGTCCGACTCCAGCGTTTTGATGTTGTAACGCGGGTTCGACCCTGGCGTTTTGATGTTGTAACGCGGGTTCGATCCTGGCGTTTTGATGTTATAACGTGGGTTCGACCCTGACGTTTTGATGTTGTAACGCGGGTTCGATCCTGGCGTTTTGATGTTGTAACGCGGGTTCGACCCTGGCGTTTTGATGTTGTAACGCGGGTTCGACCCTGGCGTTTTGATGTTGTAATGCGGGTTCGACCCTCGCCTTGCAGAGATTATCACCAAGTAATCTCTTTTTGTCATAGCGTTGCAAAGATCATTGTCTTGTAATCTTCGTCTTGGCTCCTTGAGAATATGAGAGTTGTCAGATTGTAACTCCCGATGTTGATTGTGAATGCTGTTGAACTAGAGCTCTCATCGATTGTCGTGAAGGTCGTCAGATTGTAACCTTCAGCGATCTACGTGAAAGTCTTCAAATTGTAGCCTTCTGGAAGTCGTCAGATTGTAACTTCCATCATCGGTGTTTTGATGGAGGATAAGCTATCTATTGTGATTTTAGACAGCCTACACTTCTGAGAAACTCTTCAGAGGAGAACATGTTCCTCAAAGGTTGTTTCAAGGAATACAACCTCTGTAATGTCAAAAAGGATGTCGCAAAGCGAGTAACAGTGGGTCTCAATAGATCCTTCCCACCTGTGTACTTCCTCATTAGACTCAATACCCAACAATGATTGTAGATAAACTGAATAACTCCTTTTGCCGCCTCAAGAGTCTATCGGTGTATCTTCATCTTACCTATGTCCTCTAACATGAGGTCAATGCAATGAGCTGCACAAGGTGTCCAATAAAGAGACTTCCTTACCTCCATAAGCTTTGTCCCGGCAAGCACATAAGAAGCATGATTATCAGTGATAACTTGTAAGACATGTTGCTCGCCAATCTCCTCCACAATTTTATCAATACATTGAAAAAGATACTCCCCATTCTTAATATGAGTTGAGGCATCAATGGACTTATAGAAGAAAGTCCCCTCCGGCGAGTTAACAAGGAAATTGATTAAACTTCTACTCTTCTTGTCTGACCACCCATCAGACATAATGGTGCATCCGTATTTTTCCCATGCCGCCTTGTGCTTTGCCTTAATGGAATCAATTCCCTCCACCTCTTTTTTTAGCACTCGTGTCCTTATCTCATAAGGAGAGGGTTGCTTAAGCCCGGGACCGAACTTCCCGATCACATCTACCATCTCTCTCCAATATGGACTGCTCAAGAGATTGAAAGAGAGGCCATTAGCAAAAATGCATCTCCCGATCTTTTGTACCACCTCATCTCTTTGTTCTATTTTGTATCTGTTCTCCATTGTGGTTTGGCGCCCTTGCACATTTACGAAAGTGTCTAAAGGTCCAAATGACCTACTCTGTTGGGCATTACTTCCTTGTCCACTCTCCAACTCTTGACTTTCAGCGTCTTCCACATGTGAATGTGAATCTTCCATTCTCCCAATGGAGCGAACCAAGGCGGCTTTTTTTGCCTTTCCTGTTTCCATTTCTTTCAAAGCCTCTACACATTGTTTTTTAACCAACTCTGGAACCTTATCACATTTTCTAACTCCTTTATGAGTTCCTGCCAAGTGATGCTTCAATCTTGTTACTCCCGCTGTAATATGATGGTTGCAAAATTTGCAATAAAGAGAGTGAGCAGGTTCTCCTTCTTTCCAAACTCCATGCTCCCTAACTGGATCAACACTCTTAAACATTGCAAAATTCTGCACATAAATAATTTCGGCCAAGATTAGAAAGCAGAAATTTTAATAAAGTTAAACAGTAGAATAGATAGCAACAAATAATTTAGGCCACCAAAATAAAGTTAAAGTGTTAATCAAACATCAGGTTCAACGTTAATAATTTTGGTTACTTTTCAAGAAACTTTTCGTCAGCCACATGTTATAAAACTACCGTAGACTTTTAATTAAAGTGGGAGAAACGTTCACAGTTAAAAACCAGAAATGTCAAGAGATCAAAATCAAAAAATTCGTGAAGATTTAAAACTCACCGAAGACGCCCTAAGCTCGGCGAAGCCCCAAAATTCGACGACGACGAATGCCCTAACTCCTAAGCTCGACCGAAGACGACGAGGACGACAAAGTTCCAGTCGGGCGACGAAGACGAGGACGTTAACTCCTAAGCTCGACCGAAGACGACGAGGACGACAAAGTTCCAGTCGGGCGACGAAGACGAGGACGTGAAGGTGAAGACGAGGACCAGAGAAGAAGAAGATGACGAAGGCCCTAAGGTCAGCGGGAGACGACGACGAAGGCCCTAATCTCGGTGGGAGACGACGACGACAGAGACGAGGACGTGACGGTGAAGACGAGGACCTGAGACGACGAAGACGAGGACGTGACGGTGAAGACGAGGACCTGAGGCGACGACAAGGACTGAGGTTAGAATCTGGGCGACGACTTCTCATTTTTTTTAGGGTTTTGTTGAATTTCAAGTCAATCACAGCCGTTGTTTTTTTTTTTAAAATAAATCCTAACCATTAATCAAATAACGTGGGTTAAGAAACGTTACGCAAAAACGCTACGTTACGTGCGCTACGGCCTAAATAGCGTGCGTTATTCTTCATCTACGCTATTTCAGAACGCTATGTAGCGTTATCCTCCCGCTACGTCACGCTAAACGTTATTTTGCGTTATATGGCGTGTTATTTTCAACATTGATTTGAACAATTAAAATTTAAGAGACTTATTATGCATCCTCTCTTTGATGTTTATTGTTTGCGATTATATCGTCTATTTCAGCATTACTTGATTGATTTCTTGTTGATAGTTGAGCTAAGAAGGCTGAGGTTAGGGAGCCTGATCAATAACAGAAAGGGATTTGTGACTCGAGTAATTAAACAAGAGTAATTCGTAGTTACGTGCTAGAGGAAATAGTGGCTAATGTTGTATAAGAAGCATGGCGTGCTCTCGGTATCCGACAGCCCTCGAGTCAGTTCTATGGCGTGCTCAATCTCGGCCTCGTCGTGACCCCGCACGTGTCGGGGAGGATACTGTTCTACAAAGGACATAGGATGATAATAATAATAATAAGAAAGATGATAATAATAATAAGAAAGATGAACCCTTTAAGTTGATTTCTTAAGATGATGATAATAAGAACATGTAGATTTCTGTGTTTGTTAACAATGCATGAGGTTGGTTTTGTGTAACGAGTTATAGATCAATGAAAATTTGAGATAATCCCCTTTTATGTTTGTGCCATATATGTGATATTTGTTATTCTGTGTGACTTATGCTGCTGTTATGTGATATTTTGAGTGATATATTTTGCTGTTATGTGATATTTTGGTATTCTGTGTGACTTATGTTGTTATTATATGATATTTTGGTATTCTGTGTGACATATGATATTTTTATGTGATATTTTTGGTATTTTGTGTGATATATGCTGCTGTTATGTGACATTTTAGTATTCGGTGTGACATATGTTGTTGCTATGTGATATTTTTACATTCTATGTGATATATTCTCATTACCAGTTATATATGCTGGAGTTTAAGTGTTATGTGATATTTTTACAGATATGATTATGGCATACATGCATATTTTTTCATCAAGGCGATCCTAGAGGGAAGGAATACAATGAATATTGAAGCCTTGCAAAGGGAGTCTGAGATGTTAGGAGCAGGACTTGCTGCTCAAATCATATGCGAATGTGGTGAATGGAAGAAGTTATGATTGAAGTTAGATATTGGCGATCCAGAATATCTATTGTACTTCGGGGGTAATAATATACGATTGATTGAGTGGAAGTATTAGACAAACACATGTAACTATTTCATTTGTTGGATGTTGGATGTTTACTAGTTGTTTGTAAATGATAAAATGTGTATTTGTATTTTCTTGGTGATCTTTCTGGATGTGTACTTCATCTGTGGGTTGGGACTGTAATTTCTTGTACCATTCTAGATATGTACTTCATCTGTGTGTAAACAATAATTAACTACAAAGTACAGCCAAATGTCATATATAATGACAATTGTCACAAACAACAGCAAAATATCATAGAACACAGATAAGAGTCACATATAATAGAGTATTGCCACTTCAATTTATAATTCTCAACAAGATGAAGTACACATCTAGAATGGTATGCATCTAGAAATATATATTTTAGATTAAGTACACATCTAACGTTCATATATAATACGTTAATGTCACATATGAGGTCTCAATGTCACACATGTAATACTCAAAAGTCACAAATCAGATCTAAATATCACATATAAGATAGAACTAGCACATGTAGGATTGAATTATCACATATAATATTAAAATATCATATCAAATAGAGTACAAAATTGAGTATATGTGTGGGCTTAGATTGGCAATGAGGCAGATGTGTGCGCTTAGATTAGGAAGGAGGAGGAATAGGTTGAGAAGCCTTGATGGAATCTCTTCTAATGTGGTTATTAGTATAGTTGGTTTTGTGCAAATTTATCGTTTGGACGGTTAACAGAGTTCATCGGTTTATAAAATTTGATAAGGAAATGGAAGTCAACTTGTTTACTTTTGCTATAAAATTTTGTTTGTCCTTCATGTGACAAGCCATCTTAGAATTGCTCCAGGTGTCCTTTTATGGAAGTCAACTTGCTTATGTGACATGATAGTTTCATGTGACATATGACGGTTTCATGTCACATATGTTGTTTTTATATGACATTTATTGTTTATACGTGATATTTGGGTGTTGTATGTGATATTTATGTGTTGCTTGTGATATTTGTTGTTTATACGTGACATTTGGGTGTTGTATGTGATAGGGTGTTGCTTGATACATTTGTTGATTATACCTGACATTTGGGTGTTGTATCTGATATTTGGGCATTGCTTGTGACATTTACCGATTATACATGATATTTGGGTGTTGTATGTGATATTTGGCTGTAATTTATGATATTTAGGTGTTTCTTATGACATTTATTGTTTATATGTGACATTTGAATGTTGTATGTGATATTTGGCTATAATTTCTTGATAGTGAATGTGCTTATTTGTCATATGGTTGTAATTTGTTTATATGTGACACATGACTGTAATTTGTTGTATGTGATATTTGGGTGTTGTATGTGATATTTGGTTGTAATTTGTGACATTTGGGTATTGTTGTGACATTTGTTGTTTATATGTGATATTTGAGTGTTGTATGTGATATTTGATTGTAATTTATTGATATTGAATGTGCTTATTTGTCACATGGTTGTAATTTGTTTATACGTGATACATGGCTGTAATTTGTTGTATGTGCTATTTAGATCTAATAGTCATTCTACATCCTCCTTGCCTCATTGTCATGTGTCAAGTATAAATAGATTCTCAAAAGTCACATGTCTACCTCATTGCCTTCTCAACATCTAAATATCACAAATCAGATCTTTTTCTTCTTCTTCTTTCTTCAAAATTGAGTACATATCCTCTGTCATCTCCCCAAAATTGAGCTATTATTATATCAAAATTATCCCCTAAATGATTTCAACCCATCAAATAAAGTATAACTCTTCTTGAATCTGCTTGTTCTTCCCATTACCCTTCTTCTCCAAAAAGCTTCTAATAGTCATACTCTATTTGATGGGTCATGGAGAGCACTCTTGAAGTCTCACATTCTACAGCTGAAAAGAGGTTAAATTACACCGTAATGTATAAATATCACATAACAGCAACTATATCATGGATAATGAGAATATATCATACATAATGTAAAAATATCACATAACAACAGTATATGTCACACATAATACCAAAATATCACAGGAAACAAGTATATGTGACATACACGTAGCATATGCCACACAGAATGCATAAACGTCACATAAAAGCAGCATAAGTGACATGAAACCATCATATTTTACAAACAGATGAACTCTGTTAACTGTCTAAACTTCAAATTTGCACAAAACCAACAATATTGTTAATTGCAAAGAAAAAATTAAGAGCATACAAGATTATAACAAATTAAGAGCATACAAGAGCATACAAGATTACAAAGAACAAATTAAGAGCATACAAGATTACAACAATATTGTCAATTTGTACAAAACCAGTCTTCCATTTCAAAAGAGATTCATCTCCAACCCCGAGCTCACCAGCTGGAAGCTCGATCCTCAGCCTCCGAATCTCCTTAAAGTTCTTCAAGACCTCGGTCGGCGAGTGATGCGAAACTTCCGATGAAACTAGAGAGCAAGCCGACGACGAAGCTTCCACAGATCTCTTATTCAAGATCTGACCTAGGGCTTGGATAGGCTTGACGATGCCTCCAAGGATGAGGCGAGTGAGATTCGAGATGACACCGCTTGTCTTATCGTCGTTGCCTCCGACGACGACGGAAGGCGAGGGGTTGTCGGAGATGACACAGAGGGGAGGGGAGGGGAGGAAGGAGAGGAGACGGAGGTCGGGGAGGAGGGGGAAGGGGGAAGGAGGAGGATGAGAAGAGGAGGGGGAAGGTGGTGGAGGGAGAGGTCTTGGGCCAGATTAGGGCTAGCTTGAGAAACGAATTGGGTTTTAAATAGGGAAGAAGGGTAAATTGGGAAGGGATTTCTTGGGCAGTGAGAGAAGGGGGTTGGTTGCACTAATATTTCAAATTAAGGGTTTGGGGGTTATAGTTTTGGGACTGGGGAGGAGGATGCATGAGCCAACTATTTTTGGTTCCTCCAAGCAATTTTTCCTTGAATCAAATACACAATATTACTAAAGAA